TAAAATCGAGAGAAAAGAACAAAAATTGCTAAAAAGAAATGAAATTAAGGAAGAAAATTCCCTTTTCCAGCCGCTTCCCTGCGGGGAGGGGAGCCCGAGGATCAAATGGACCTCGACTCTTTCAACACCCAAATTTTCTTTGAGCTGCTGCTGAGGCAGTCCCAGTCTGTCACCTCCACCCTGGGCCGCTTCAAGGAAGAGGTAAAAATCATTCTTTGTAGTAATAATAATAAAATTATCCATTATTAATTAATTTTTCTGCAGCTGTTTTTCATGTATTAAAGCCTGAAGCTGAGTACGTTCTGTCAGGTCACGTTGTTTCATCGTGAGGCTGATGCTTTATTTCAATTTTCATCCGTTTAGGACACGATAAATAAATCTGTCCTCATTTTATTAAGTGTTTTCTAAAAGCAGGGAGAGGAGTTTTAAGTTAAGAAAAGAAGTTTTAAGGTCAAACATTTTGATTTTTTTACAATTTTTTCTCTTGGTACTCAACTGCCAATTTTTGGAAAGTGACTTCAGCTTCCAGCTTCAACTTTTTATCTGTAAAATGAAAATCATGTGGATTTTCCATGCTGGAGAAATGCAGGTTAAGCTGAGGAGAGGTGAATAAATGACTAGAAATTATGTTATTTTAATTTTATACTAAAATATATAAATTTTACTGCTGAAATCCATAGGAGAGCCCAAATGTGAGTCCACCTGTGGCACTCTGGTAAGGCCAGGTGAGGTTTTAAAGACAGCAGAGGGAGCTGGATCACAATGAGCATTTAACAGCTAAATCATAAATAAATAAACAAAATTAATTTAATTATAAATAACAAAATAAATAACAAATAATGCGTGGGGGGGAAAAAAATCATTATTCACATTATTTACACCAAAAATTCTCCCCGGTTTGGGTTTTAACACATAAAGGGAAATTTCACCAGCTCCAAATTATCCCTTCACTCCTAATAGCAGCTTTTTATTTTCATTATTTATTAATTATTATTTCTTTTCTCTTGATTTCTGTACCTCAGGTGAAAGTTGTGTATCACAGGGTAATGAATGAAATCTCCTTGCTGAAAAACCTTTGGCTGAAGGCTCTGAGCAGCCCAGGAAAGGGGGAGGAAAATGAGGAGAACACAGGAAAACAGCAGGTAGAGCTCAGCTCAGCAAGAATTAAAAATGGAATAAATCAAATTTATGCTTGGAAAGGCGAATTGATACATGGAACAACAAACGGGGTTGATACATGGAATAATAAATTGAATTTAAACACGGGAAAACAAATCGAATTTATCCACGGAATAACAAATTGAATTGATACATGGAATAAATTGAATTTATTCATGGAATAACAAAATGAATCCGTACGCAGAATAATAAATCGAATTTGTAGGGAATAATAAATTGAATTCTCTTCAAGAAATTTTAGGCACAGCCACTTAAAACATCACTTTTAGCGCAGCACATTTAATATTTTGCAGGCTGCAAAATAATTAATTTGTCCATAAACGAGAGGTGCCACCCAAAAACTACAAAGGATCAGAGCAAAATAACCAAAAACTCACTTGAGAAAGACATTAAATATAAGGCAATACTTAAATCATGTTTGCAATATTTTTATTAACTTGGAGGATGCGAAAAAATCTGAGATTTTGGGATGAGGACCGCTGGAAAAGGCAGCATTTTAACTTGCTGCGGCAGTGATTGAGTTTGGGACAATCTGTTATTAATTGAACTTTTACAAGGATTTAACTTATTCTCATTTAAGAAGTCGATAAAATGACATTTTTTACCCCAAAAAGCCTCTGTGCTGTTCCAGGTGTCTTTTCCTGGAACCTCTCAGAGCCCCAGGATTTTTGGCAGCCCCGAAATCTCAAACGATCCCCGCGACTCCATCCCACAAAAACTGATCCCACTGCTCCAATCTGCACTCCAGGTGCTGCAGGAAAACCAAAAAATCAATTTATCCCCCGAGGACCCAGGTAAGAGAGAAGAGGAAAGCACTGCCACTTCGCTTATTTTATTCTGATATTATTATTATTATTATTATTTATTATTATTATTATTTATTCCACAAGATTCCACACTTGACAGCTGCAAATCAGATTTTGGTCCTGTTTGGTTGAAGATCTTTTTGGGTCTAATGAGATTAGTGGAATTTTGAGCTTAATTAAACTAATTAAATTAATTATATTAGCCCCAGGGTGGGATGAGTCCTAAAATCACCTCTAAAACTCAGTTTTCCTTGCCAGCCCACACCAAATTTCTAATAAAGAAATAATTCAGTTTTCTGAGCTGGAGGCAGACATCAGCATTTCTTCCCATTGGGAATTCCAACACAAAATTTCTGGTTTTCCTTCCGCAGGTGATGGAATTTGGGGGAAAAGCTCCTCTCTCCTCCTCTGAAATCACAGCCAAAAGCTGGAGAAAAGTAAATTTCACCTTTTTTTCTTCTCATAAACCAGCCACGATTGGCTGTGACTGGAAAACTTCTGCTTCATCCTCGATTATGATCAAATTTTGCTGCACAAAAACTTCATTTATTCTCCCCACCAGTGAAGGAGAAAGACTCAGCACCCAAATCTCCTGAATTTGCTGCCCAGCTCTAATAGCATTTTTCCAGACCTTGATTATGAGAAGTTCCTCTAAGAAAAGTCAATTTTTGCACATTTCCTTCCTTATCTTGATAAAAATTCACAATGCATCAACAGGGAGTCATTTTTTGCTTTGAAAAAGATGAAAATAAAGATGAGAAATGCTGTGTTTTATCCAATTGTATGGCAGTCTTTTATCCAATTGTATTGCAGTGTTACCTCTTGGACAAAAAGAAAACAATTTTTTTTGCAATAATCAATCTAAATAAATTCTACTGTTCTTGCAGCAGAACCACACAACAAGTGGCTGATGAAGAAAAAACAGAATTTCCTTCACCTCCTGAGCAGCAGTGGAAGGGACAGCCTTGGCCACAAGGCACAGTGAGCATAAATTTTCTATTATTTCCTATTTAAACTTATTATTTCATGACCTTGCACAGTGCAATTTGTCTTTCTGCTTTGCTCCTGTGAAGATAAATTTTAACACTGGCATTTTCCCTGTTTTTTAGCCCTGAAGAGGAGATTTTGGGCTCCTTTTCCCGCTCAGAGCTGGAGGATAAAGTGGATGCATTAACCGAGGAGCTGGTGCAGATTTTAGAGGATGAGGAGCAGTTTTTAAGCAGCGAAGGCAATGAAGATTTTCTCTCTTATTACCTCGAAATAACCAGCTTGGAGAAGGAAAATTTGGTGAAACAAATCAATGCATTAGAAGAGGAACTAGCCCAGGGCAGAAAGATGTGATGCTCAAAACTCTGTGGTTTGGCTCCTCTGCCTTGGGCATGAGGCTTCAATCCAGAATAAATCCTTTATTTCTGCTTTAATTCCAGCATCTTCCTCCCCTCCATCCCAGGGGCTCCTTAAATCAGCGCAGGGATTGAAGTGGCAAGACTTTGGCCTGAGGAAATGACATTTCTGGCCACATCCAAGCGCTCAGAAGAAATATTGCTGCAAAAGCCCAGCCTCGGAGTTTCCAGGAACAGGAGCAGAAAATAGAACCGCTCAGCTTCCAGCATGAAATAAATTATTCTTTAAACTCATGCATCACTCCACGAGGTGTTCTGAGGCCTCTGCAGCTGAGAGCTGCACTTTTCTGATTTTATGACACAGCAAAAACTGCAGATACAGTTACTTGGCTTAATGAGATCCGTTTAATTAAACTTAAAGTGCAAGAAATTAATGTTTTCCACCATGGAAGCAACGTCTGAATTCACCTTTTTTCAGCTCTGTGCTACCGCCCACCCAGGAATGCTCTTCCCTGCTCTTAAACTTGGAGAATCCATCTCTCCTCCTCCCAAATTCCAGAGGCAAACTCCCAAAACATGAAACATTCATTATTTCCCAACCAGTGAAACCTCAGCCCAGCCTCCACTGGGAATAAAAAGCAAGTGAGGGAAGAGCAAAGACACTCAAAACTCTTTTTTTCCCCCCTCTATCAGTACAAAACTCATGGGGGCACAGCAGAATTTACATATTTTTGTGTGTCATGAAATACCCCAGACATTTCTGCTGGTGCTGTTTAGGTCTTGGCTCCTGACATCTTTGACAGAAGCAAAAAAAGTGTTTTTCAAAGCAGCTTGGGGGTGTTTTTATCTTCCTTCACCTGCTGGTATTTCCACCAAAAATCTCCTGAACACCCTTCAAGGCACCACCAGCAGCTGGCTTTGATAAAAAAACATCAGCAGATTTATTGATTTATTCATTTCCTTTTTAACTCACAAGAAGAGCCTCACATTACATCTTCAATCTTACGTTAACATCAATTAAAAACATTTAAAAACCCAGACCAAAAAAAACCACACCCCACCCCCCAAAAATATTCCCAAATACAGAGTCGGAGGTGGGGATTAGACAAGGAGTGCTGTTTTGATGAGGTTTTGCAGTGCCAGCCTTCAGCCCCTCACAAAAGCAGGGCTCCAAAAAGGGCAGAGGAGCCCCGGCTCTACCTCTTGGTGTTGATCCAGTGGTACCTGTCCACGCGGGGGCCAGCGAAAGCGGCCGTGGGCCGGTAGCTCCTGTAGCCCCTGGGCTGCCCAAAGTGGGAGCCCTCGCCCAGGTGGGGCTTCCTGTGCAGGTATTGCCACCAGGGCTGGGGGGGAGCCTTGCAGAAGTCAAACTGAGCAGCAAAAAAAAAAGGGAAAAAAAAAAAAATTATAAAATTGTAAGTCTCGGATTCAAAGAGAGAAACGGAGAGTTTCTAGCCAGGCAGAAGCCTGGGAAAGAGCTGGAGAAGAATGTAAATAATTCTTTATCTCTTTTGTTATTCACATTGTTTATAGTTAAGTTCTATCACTGTGTGTCAAGCACTGTACACCAATGGGTTGAGTGGAGTTGGTCCTCACGAAGCTCTGTATAAAAGAGCTGTGTATTTTGAATAAACCAGAGTTTTATTCTCAGGTTTTTTTCCATTGGTCCTCACAGAGCTCGGTATAAAAGAGCCATGTATTTTGAATAAATCAGAGTTTTACTCTTAGGTTTTTTCCATTGGTCCAATGGAGCTGGTCCTCACGAACCTCTGTATAAAAGAACAGTGTATTTTGAATAAATTGGAGTTTTACTCTCAGCTTTTTTCCCATTGGTCCAATGGAATTGGTCCTCACAAAGCTCTGTATAAAAGAGCAGTGTATTTTGAATAAACCAGAGTTTTACTCTCAGATTTTTTCCATTGGTCCAATGGAGCTGGTCCTCATGAACCTCTGTATAAAAGAATAGTATATTTTGAATAAATCAGAGTTTTACTCTCAGTTTTTTTCCCATTGGACCAATGGAGCTGGTCCTCACAGAGCTCTGTATAAAGAGCAGTGTATTTTGAATAAATTCGAGTTTTACTCTCAGCAGCTTCTGAGTCAGTCTTCTCATTCCCATCCTGCCTCGACAGCAACATCAAATTTTTCTCCTTCCCCAGCAGACTCATCCCAATTCCACCCCGAGGAAGCTGAGCCACCTCTGCTGCCTCCTCCCAAAGCTCCATCCCACCCACAGCAGCGCTGAGGATGGGAAAAGCCTTTCAGGACAAGCCCAGCTGTGCCCTAAACCCTGTCCCCAAATGCCACAACTTTTAACCCCCCCAGGGACAATGACTCCATCAGGGCTGGTCACATCCAGTGGGAACAACTCAATTCTTCACATGGAGTGGTACAACAAGAATTAGTTAGCAAGAAATAGGCCCAAAGTTTCTAAACTTTGTTTCACAAAGCATGGACGAGTTTGACATTTCAAACCAGACGTTTATGGGACAGTGACACCACCTGCCAGGCTGGAAAACCCTTCCAGGGAAGAAATCAAACCTCATCCTCCTCTGGAGCAGCTCAGGGCTGTTTCCCCCAGTCCTGGCACTGGGAGAAGAGCCTGACCCCCACCTGCCAGGAGCTCCCTGGAGGGATTTCAGGGTGAGGAGCATGCCAGAACCCCTGGTAGATGCTGTGAGCCTGATCCCCACCTGCCAGGAGCTCCCTGGAGGGATTTCAGGCTGAGGAGCACCCCAGAACCCCTGGTAGATGCTGTGACCCCTGACCCTCACCTGCCAGAACCTCTCTGGAGGGATTTCAGGGTGAGGAGCCCCCCAAGAACCCCTGGTAGATGCTGTGAGCCTGACCTCCACCTGCCAGGAGCTCCCTGCAGGGATTTCAGGCTGAGGAGCCCCCCAGGCTCACCTGGTAGATGCTGTTGGGGTTGCTGACGGTGGGGATGGCTCTGGGCTCCTTGCTGAAGCTCTCCTCATCCGAGGAGGTGCTGGAGTGATAGTCCAGGGCTGCCCTGCCCACGGCCAGGCTGATCTGCTGGGGCAGCTCGGGGTTCTCCTGCCCATCGAAGCGTGCCACGGTGAAGGGCCGGCTCCTCTCCCCGTACCTGCCAGGGCTGCGGGTGGGTGCTGCTGCTCTGCCAGGAGCCAGCTCCACCAAAAAAGAGACCAAACCCTCTGC